AAGCCCCCCCCCCCCCCCCCCCCCCGCACTTTAAGAGATGCAAGAATAGCTTGGAAGGAGAATGAAGGAGTTGTATTCACTCCACAGCTTCTACGCACGCAAGTCGCCCTCGCCGCGGCTAGCCACTACGGCGTCAGAAGTGATGATGTACCGCTGTGAGCGTCGATGACAATGTATCAACATCGCCTACAATCACGCAGCCCAACGTCAGAAGAGGGGGTGAGGGGTTGCATGCGCGGTTCCGTGCATGAGCCTTTAAGATGCAGCCAGAACCGCACGGCGGGATCGACTTCTCAAACGTCATGCACCGGACCTTGTAAAGGAGGGCATATTGTACGCTGTGGGAGATACATTCGGGTCGGTCTTGCCGCAACTCATCAATCACCTTGATGGGATCACAGGAATTGGCTGGACATGCCCAAGAGCAGAGACCAAGCAGATAGAGGTAGAGGTATCAGCTGATTTACACAGACAGGGGTGGGGGGCGGGCAAGTGGCAGGCTCCGTCAAAGTACGAACTGCGGCTCAGAGTTTGCATGCCGATATCCAGCGCGATGGCCAAGCCGGTGCGCTCAATGCCATCGGCACAATGGACCAGAAAGGGATGCCGTACAACCTGAGGTGCCCCGCAAACGTAGTGAGAGGCGCAACACTTCGATAGGCTTGAGAGAAGAACGTACACAGCGCTCAGACGTACTTTGAGCCGTTCAGGGCCAATCAAACCTTCGTGATGATCGACGTCTTGGAGAAAGGCATCAAGCGTGCCAAGCACGGGCATTTCATACGCATCAACAGTCTTGATGGCTGATTCTCTGTCTGCTGCTTGAGCGGACGGCCCGGAGACCTCGGCATAGACGCTTTCTATGTTTTTGGCCGAAGGCGGCTGGTCATGGAGGATGGCCTGAAAGTCAGCTGCCATCTTGACATCAGCCGTTGTGCGCCTGGGCAGTGGAGGTGCGGCCTCGCCGGGAGCAGCATCTGTACTTGAAGCATCCAGCCCGGTCATGCTGTGGATGAGAGCATCGATCTGATCGTCAGTGGAGGCTTGACGCCGGTGTTGCTTGGTAGGAAGGTTGGGAGCTCCGCGGTCTGAGAGGTGTGGCACAGGGTCAACCACCACGGCTTGGCCCAGGGCGTCATAATGGTCGAGGTCATCATCAGTACTGCTGTCTGTGTCCTGATCCAGGCTCGGAGTGGCAGTATTGGCAAGGAGCATGACATCGGCTGTTCGCGAGACCATGCTGTAGATGCCGGAGGAGGCCATGGCGCGGGGTACGCTCATCCGTGGCGACCCGGCCACATCCTCTGCTTCACGCGTCTGCCGTTGACTGTCAATTGAACCCTGTCGCCGTTGCTATAAAAGGACAAGAAGAAACGGTGCAAAAACAAGGAACGGTGATGAGGGCGAAAGATGTCATCAGCTGGGACGCGATGGGGGAGCGGGGGAGGACCAGACCTGGCCGGTGGAAGTACGGCGGGTAGAATCCTGGCGTCCTTGCAGACGCCGGTATTGTGAAGTGTGCCTAGCAGACGCATCGTGTGTGAGAAGAACCGGTACAGATTGCCCACAAGAGAAGTGCGCAGGGCTCATGTGCAAACGCGTTGTGACGATTCAGGTGCCAATCAAACAACAAAGGACGAGAACAGGGACAGAGAAGCAAGCGACAAAGACGACTCAGAAGGCCAGGGGGAAGGAACCCACATGGCACGTAGTGTGTGCATGAGATCGTCCGGGGAGGTGCTGCTGCCATGCATAGGAACGGCGCTATCTTCCGGCCAATCCACGTATTGCCAGTGACGCAAATCGCGCACCTCCTCGCCCTGTCAACGCAGGGGGGGGGGGGGGGGGGGGGGGGGGGGGGCATTGGGAAAAACCC